AAACTGTCTTTTTGTTGTATGCATTCTATAACATTGCGTCAAATATATTTGATGAGTAAATTCACAGGAGAGAAATTGTGTTCATTTTACCAACCATTACAAATGTTTTATTCAGACCAAACTTAACAATCAGTTAGAATAATTAAAAATATTTAATTTTAGCTGGTCGGATGCAACGTTGAAATATTACTGCATAAAAAATAAGTTAGGAATTCTTTTGCTAACTTGCTTTGACTTAGAAAGTTCTAGGTAACGTTTAGGGTATGCTCTTTTGCTTTCTGCTTTATTTATCATCTACCAATTTCTTTTAATGTTTAACATTCTCGTTCAACTTGTCTTCAGTCATAGAGGTAGTGCACCACATATTATGCACAATGCGCTCCTCACAGAAGCATTCTCTCTATTTCGTACCATTTTTAAAATTCTTTTTCCTCGTCCCTAAATAGCGTGTTCTTGTTCTGTAACGTAATATGACACGGTTTAAGCAAAGAATGGAGTTTTTTTTCTAAAATATTCCTTAAATTAGCCTAAGGCTTGCAGTTTTGTCATGCTGTAAAATGATTCTTTAGGTGAGAAAAAGAAAAATCTTTTCTATGGATCGTTTCGCCCATTTTAAATTTAAATGTTCATTAGACCTTTCGATCCTCCAAAAACCAACTTATTTAGTTGTTCATCTTCTATCGACGAATAACACATATTTGATATGACATTCTAATAAGCTCTATTGCTGTTAGTATTTTATAGAATGAGTATATTTCGAAACGCGATTTCCGTGTCCGTTTTCTCACTGGATTTTCTGGTTCAAATGCGTTTGCATTAATAACACGAAAAGATGCGATGGTTTGGACTGATGGTAGATATTTTATACAGGTATAATGGTTCAGTTTCTATCGAAGTCATGTTTTGCTGCTGGGAATTAAGTTTAGTTGAATTTATCAATTTCTGAATTTTCAGTTTCTGAATTTTCCTTATGTTGGATTTTGACTTAATGTAAAATATAGGCGCAAAGTGAACTGGAACCAGGATGGAAATTGATGAAGGAGGGTATTCCAGATGCAATTTCAACAACTGATTGGATGATTCAAAATTTAAACAAAGGTAGTCGAGTAGCTTTCGATCCACAACTCTACAGACATGGTATGTTTGGTCGTTCTGACTTATGGTTTAGTTTTTCACCAAGATTACAGTTGAATTTGTTGTTTACATGATGGACATACTAATATAGCTATACATACTAATGCATTTATAATACAGTGTGAAAAATATCGAAATGAATATTCGTGCATTTTTTACCACATGTTGTAATATTTATGGTTGTATGATCTCGATACTCTTTTCATTTGATAGCTGAGGCGTTACGAATAATGGCTGAGCTAAAGAAATTTGATATCAGTGTGATACCTTTGAAAAGTAACTTGGTCGATTATATATGGCATGATAGACCGGAAGAAATTTTTGGGAAGGTGACTTTCACATATTTGTTTAAGAAGCTGTTTAAAGAGCTCGGGTTATGCCTTTACAAACTCCCTAGATTTTTCTTCCTATTCATAATCTTCTTTTTCTTTCATTCATCAAATTCAATTTGAAATTCGTAACAGTAGAAAATTAGGACTTCAGCTATCTATGTATCATTAAGAAATCAAGTGACATTCATGAAAACATGGGACTGGGTGTTTCCTTACGTGATGGATATAGCATCTAACTGTTCACTGCAATGGATTTTCATCAAACATTCGATTTCAGATTTTAGTGATGAAAGATGATGAACATGGAATGGAAATGTGCAAGAAAATTGAGAAAATACGGCACGAGTTACAACTGAAAGGCTGCAATACAGCAGTTTTTACTGCCCTAGATGATATTGCTTGTAAGTAATAGAATACAATCGTATCTGAGTCAGTTTGCACTCGCTCATACTTGAGTCAACAACTGATTCTTAATTTTGCAATTTTTCAGTTTTCAGGGTTGCTCAATATTCGTGGTTCGGATATTCCTTATAATCCGGTTGTTTATGCAATTATTTTCATGACTCCAGATGAGGTACATTTATTTATCAATAAACGGAAATTAAACAATGAAATACTGAATCATCTTTCAAACATTGTCATTCATGAATATTACGAAGCAGCCGAATGGATTGGACAATGGCTTCAAAGCCATAAAGGCCAATACAAAGTAAGTGTAATGCAGTCCACCAAAAATGCGTGAGTAGTTATGGAGAACAAACAGATAAAAACGAGGTTATTTTACTAAAAGCCTGAATGACATGGAGATTTTGATGTAAGAAAGAATGACTCTTTTAAAAATGAAATTTAATATCTTCTACAAATTGACTATAATTAAATGCTAAATTTTTATTCGGAAAATTGGATCCATAATTTACTGTAGGAGAAAGTCGGGGATTTACAGAGATTCTTAACAGTTTGAATTATGGTATTTCTTTTTCCTGAACCTATTATTAGCTCCCTATGTAACTGATTTTCTGGACACGACAGTAACTCATGTAACAATATCTATTACAGGTTTGCATTCCAGACTCAACAAATTATGAACTAGGGTCTTTGGTCGAACCAGATGATGGCGTGTCATTACCTTCGCCTATTCAATTTGTAAAAGCTATCAAGAATGAATCAGAATTAAGTGGGATGCGGAAATCAAGTGTAATATATATATTTTCAATGTTTTCACAAGGACGACGAAACTATTCAGACATTCAGTGATTTCTCTGATGACGGACAACTACATTCTGAGCATAATTGAACATTAACTACTTGACATATTTGATTATTAGCTCCTATATATATATATATATATAGCTGAGATACTAGTTAGATTAAGAATTTTACTAATAATTTTTCTGGGAAGCATTAAATTTGGAATTTGTAACTTAAAAAAAAGTTCTTTCATTGCGCATCATCTATCAAATTTGGGATGCATTTTTTATAAAATAAGATAATCATATCCATCCCTCTTAATATTATTTCCAGATCCGTGATAGTGCTGCAATAATTGAATATTTTGTTTGGTTGGAAGAGCAGATTGCTGCTGGGAAAGAAATTACTGAAGTATATTTGCTTAATTTCAACTTAATAAGCACCACTTCCTATCCTTCATCTTTTACATTTTGTAATGATCTATTATGAAACATTTTCATATTTTACAGGCAGTTGCTGGTGAGAAAATGGATGCATTTCGTAGCAAGCAACCTCTTTTTGTTGATTTAAGTTTCAAAACGATAGCAGCAGTGAATGAGCATGCAGCTTTGCCACATTATCAGAGTACCCCAGTAACGGGTAAACAGTTACTAACCAACACATGCATATTCTTAATCGATTCTGGTGGACATTACCGGTAATTCTAATAATATCAGTCATACATGACACAGTGTTATTTCAAAGTTACAAAATAAATCAAATCTGAAAGCTACAGCGATGGAACAACTGATGTAACACGAACAATTGCTTTTCCGGATAATACGGACATGGAATTCAAAAGAATGTTCACTTTGGTTCTTAAAGGACATATTGCTAACGCTAGGCTCATTTTTCCTGACGGTGTAAACGGTAAACTTCATTTATTTGAATGTCTACATCTGATCTAGCGTTTTACTTGATTAGTTTTCATATATTTAGATTTTGCATTCAGATCCCTAGATTTGCTAAAATTAGCGTCAACTGTTGGATGATCAGTATATCCTCCTGAATATGCATCTTATAGCAGCAAAGATTTTTAGGAATACGCATGGACGCATTATCAAGACAGTATCTCTGGAGTGATGGACTAGACTTTCAGCATGGCGTAGGCCATGGTGTTGGACATTTTCTTAATGTGCATGAAGGACCAGGTAAATGAAGGTTTCATGAGTGGAAGGTAGTTGAAGGGAGTTTTATCAAGAAAAAAAGGAAAAAGGTATGATCTTTATCCTTTGGGCATTAAGTATCTTTTATAAATAATTTTTTCTTTTCAGTTGGTATTACATTTCGCAAATACGAAAAAGAAGGTGGAATCCGCAAAGGACATGTGATAACAATTGAGCCTGGTTTCTATGCTGAAGGCAAATGGGGCATAAGAATTGAAAATTGTTATGAGGTTAACTTTACAAATAATAGCTTTGGAGGTTGTGAGAACTAGATATTTTGAAAATTTATTGCTTTGAAAATAATTATCTCTTATAATTTATCGAAATCAATTTAAAAAATGCTTGGCTAGGAGTATTTGATCTAGATTTGAAAATTTTTGCAACTTTTTATGTATTTTAAATTTTGAAAAAGGAAAAAACTATTCTTTTACATCCAAACGGTTGGTGCGAAATCTTTTTATGCGAATGTCAACCTGCGAAAAGTTTAAGCAGCAATAAGAACAAATACAAGAAACAAATAAGTAAAATTCTCCTTAATTTTCTTTAGTCATATAGTTAGCAAAATTCGTTTCAGTCGTTGACTGATTACATTGCTTACGCTGCATGCGTTTTTTTCAGATCGTATTTTTTTTCAGATCGTAGCTGCTGACAAAGCGCGTTCAAATGCAAAAAATTTCCTAACATTTTCACCGTTAACCTTGGTCCCTATACAAAAGTCTTTGGTGGACAAAACTTTACTTACGTCAGATGAGGTAAATTTTATGCTGAATTTCTGAAACGCACTTATAGATGGACCTCTTAAAATCTCACGTGTTGCTATAATTTTCAAAGAAAATTAAATTGACAAACGTTGTTGGATGTAATAATCTGATAATTATTGTTTTCTGAGGTTAATGAGAATGAGTGATAACATCCGAGCTCGATATCTGTATTACTCTAACAGTCGGCGACAGTCAGAAACAAAACTAGACAACTGTTTGAGCTTCAGTTTCGTTTTTCCAGGTCTTAAATTAGCTAATGAGTTAGAAATGTCGAAAATTCGGTTAATTTCTAAGGACACGCTATTTTTGTGAACATATGAACGCGTTCTATTCTTTGTTCGGTAGAATAATTAGAGTTTTATTAGCTTTAACGACTACTAGAAATGGGCATATATCGAAAGATTCTTTCCAATGAAGATTCTATCCTAACCTTTTAAAAGGAAACATATATTTTTCCCCTTACACATACTGTTCAGAAATATCGTGAATGGTATATATTTCACTGAGAAATACCTGCAAGCTCAGACTGACTGGATAACTTCGTTATAATTCAGTTTGAGCATGCAGGTATTTCACATCTATTTTAAATTCTTAAAGAATAATGGTGCACACTTCGTGCGAAACAGCATACAACTTGTGAATTGATTGTTTTTTTTTTTTAATTTTAATAATTTGCAGATTAAATGGTTCAATAGTTACCATACTATGTGCTTTGAAAAAGTTGGTCCATATTTATTGGAAACAGGCAAGAAAAAAGAGCACGAGTGGCTTGTGAATGCCTGTGCTCCAATGTAATTCATTCATACTAACATCTCTCGTTTCAGTATATCAGTCATAAATGTCATTAGAATTGTAAACATTATGGTTGTTGTAAACGTTATCTTCCGAGAAAGCGTAAATAATATGTGGTAGGATTACATTTGAAATTTATGATTAAATTTATTTGGTACTAGATTGTGCCTTATTGTTTTATTTATTTCTTTCGTAATGCTTAATCATGTTCAAAACTAATGATTAATTCTGCCAAATTTTTTTAATACATTTTTTCTCTTAATCATATCGAATAACAGGTTTATGTTAATAATTGTCATCTTCAAACTTTTTTTTTTAACAAATAATTCTTGTCAAATTATAACTGTTGTTATGCCGCATTCTTTTTTTTTTTTGTTTGTAATGAAATTGCCAGTCATTATCCTGAGTACGACGAAAGTCATCATATTTATAAGCAAAAATTAATACCATCTAATCGATTACAATTTGTCGTTCAAAAAAAAAAAAAAATGATCCAATGAACGAGAAATTTGAATCGTTGTGAAGAATTTGTTTTTCTTTCAAATTGTGATACAATGAAATAGTAGTTTTTTTCCCCCCCAAGCAATTCATTCTCTTAAATAAAGTATTGTTAGGAATTCTTTGTTAACCAGTATTGAAAGATACTCTCATCTTTTTAACTATTTATATACCTTATGAGTTCTTATATATCATTATCATTCCTAAAATTTACTTTTTTTTTCCATCGTTAATCATTCCTAGTATATATATATATACATGTATGCTATATGATAATGGTTGGTACTCATGCTTCTTGGTTCAGAAATTCATGAATGTTTTAAAAATAAAATTAAAGTTCATTTATTGGTCCGATCTAAATTGATTCATTTCATATTTTATTTTTGTCATTTTACACTGTCACCTGTGTTCCTCATTTTACTACAAATAATTCGACAAGAAATCAATGGATTTTTTAATTTCAAATTTAAATTTAATGTGAATTCCATAGATTCAAAAAAAGTTTACATATCATATTAATACATTAGAAGTCTTCTTTCTTTTTTTTTTTTTTCTACTCTACTCTTAAAATAGGACATTTTTAAATGCACGTATAAACGTGAAGATTCTGATATTACAGAAATGTATAAATTCCATTATCATGTAAATAATGTACAGATTCCGATATCATAAAAACGTATTAATTAGTCTATCATAGTAGATGTTAATTGCATAATTTTTTTCTTTTACTGTCAAATTTTAGAACAGGAAAATGCTATGAATTCATGAATTACTGTCATGATGTATTTTTAATTTTTTTTAATCATTACACTAAATTCGTTTTTCAAATTTACATTAATGATTGATTTGTTGATTGATTGGAGCAGCAAAGAAAATTAATAAGTTGTAGGTAGTAGAAGGAAATAAGAAATACTATAAAATGAATCAAATAAAATTTTCCGAAATTCCGAAATTTATCTTCATTTTATTGATAATATATAAAATTTTGGAATTAGTCGCTGATAACATGCAAATTTTTTATAATAATTATAAAATTAATACATATTACGTGTTTTATGTACTCAATTATTGGATTTTTTGTTAAACAAAAAAAAAAAAGTAAAATTACGTAAAAGAATTTTGTCATAATAGTAAAAATAATTGAAGAATT